AAATTTTTACAAAAAGGGCCCCAACCCCCCCGGTTTTGGCCTCCCCCCCCCTTTTTTTTTTGAAAAAAGGGGTTTTAAATTCCCCCCCCCCGGGGGGTTTTTCCCCTTCCCCTTCGGAAAACCCCTTGGGTTTTTGGCCCCCAGGTTTTCCCCTTTTTTTTTGAAAAGGGGGGTTTTTTGGGACCGGGGGGCCCCCATTTTTTTGGGGGCCCCCCCCCCCCCCCCCCCCCCCGCGCCAAGCATCGCCGTGCTACCGTCCGACCACTTCTGGTGTAGCATTAACAAGAGCTCGTCCGTTTGTTGGATGGGTGTTTTGCATCCTCGCTCGGCTGGCTATTTTCTTCTTCCAGGCGGATGTCAACCCGGAACTGATGATGAGCTTCATGTCCCTCATGGCCGACTATGTGAGGGTGCACCTGGTCGTGGCCTCTGTGACGGAGAGGAAGCAGGCCCTGGGGATGTACTACTTAGCGCACGCGACGGTCCACGGGAAGAAGACCACCCCGGCTATGGCCAAGGTGAGACGACACGTGTTCGGTGCAAATCGAATTGGGGGCCGGGGGGGGGGGTTCCACCGGAAGAAAGGCTGGTGACCAAGGTAATGAGACATTACGTGTTCGGTACATGCGGTGCATTATACTTCGAATTGACGGGCGGGGGGGCGTCATCGTGTATTGCGTGCCCGAGTTATTCGATCATTGGCCACGCGTCCTCAAAGAGGACGGAGCTGCCGTAATTTATTGCATCGATCGCGGTGACCGGCTGACCAATGAAAATTGTCAGTCGCATACCGGTGTGTTTCCCATCCCATTTATGATGCCGATGTTACACCTTCTGATATGTGTCTGGATGCACCAACAGGGTATATTCGCACAGGATTTTTGTTTCCCTCTTTTGCCACTCTCCCTCCAGCATGTTCCATGGTTTTTGTTTGGAAACTTGTGTCTGGCTCGCGTAGACCTCCGTGCTTGGATCGAGTGCGAAGTCTTGGTATGCTCTTGTCCACGCGCCTGGCCTCGCAACTGCTCTGCCCTCTACGTTGCTTCTCGCTCTTGTAGATACCTTCTCCCTTTTCCTGCTTTCTTTATTGGCCAAACGTGGAAGCGACGGCAAGGATAACAATCATAAGAGTTTTTTTTCTTCTTCATCACTTTCAATCAGCTCTCTCACACACACGCTGTATTGCGACTCAGGCTTTGTCCCCCCCCCTGCCCCACAGCCGAAACCTCCTGACAAAAGCAGTAAAAAAAAGTTCCTTAATAGGACCGTGTGCTTGCTTCCACCTGTACCCATCGCGCCAACACATCGTCCTCTGTTTTTTTCCCCTATCACCGGACGGGCTCGCATTTGGCGGTGCCTCGATGACGTCGTCACCGCAGGTTAACTCCCTCATATCCGTGTGCGACAACCCCCTCCACGGGCTGGCGATGGAGATGTCGGTCAAGGCCTGCGAAGTCGTCAGGTCTTGCGTGGGGGGCGCGCTGACAGCCGTCAAGGAGGTGGTGGAGGTGGCCTCGGAAGTGCGCGATTCCTTTCTGCGGCGCCCCCTCGTTCTGTGCTTATTGTAAGGTGGTTGCGCACGGCGAGCAATAACAGTTTGTTGTCCTTC